TTAGAGAGAGCAAGGATTTTTTGGATAAAGGCAACTCAAGAATCGTACTTCTCACAGGAAATCAAGCAGATCAACTCAAATTCACTGCCCGTCTCACACCCCCTCGCACGATTGACAGCATTTATTGACACTCAAGGGGTCATACGTGTTGGAGGGAGGTTAGCAAATGCTAGCTTGGACCAAGAAGCAAAGCATCCTGCAATCCTACCACAGAAAACTCATCTTTCCAGACTAATCATTGCAGATGCTCATGAAAGAACATTGCACGGTGGGACGCAGGCAACTCTGAACCTCATACGATCATCGTACTGGATCATTGGCGGACGACTCCCAGTACGATCCTATATTTATCATTGTATGAAATGTGCTCGTTTACGTGGCGAACGAGCGAAGCAGTTAATGGGGTCAATTGCCGTTATCAAGAATCACTCCAGCCCGACCATTTGCCGTCTGTGGTGTGGATTACGCTGGTCCCATCACGCTAAAGACTTGGAAAGGCAGAGGCGCCAAAACATCTAAGGGTTGGATGTGCATTTTTGTGTGCTTCGTTACTTCTGCGCTTCATGTAGAAATTGTAACAGATTATTCAGCAGACTCATTTATTGCAGCGTTCAGAAGGTTCACTGGACGTCGAGGTGTCTGCAGAACTCTCCACAGTGATTGTGGCACCACGTTTCAAGGCGCAGACACGCTCATCAGACAACTCTTCAAGCAGGGGACTCAACAGTTCAGTCAACTCGCAGCTGTAATTGCAAAAGATGGAACTGATTGGAAGTTTAATCCACCAGCTGCACCACACATGGGAGGAAAGTGGGAAGCTGCAGTCAAATCAGTAAAGTTCCATCTTAACAGAACGATAGGCGACTCACTCTTTACATATGAAGAGCTTTCCACACTGCTTGTCCAGATAGAAGCAGTCCTTAACTCCAGACCACTCGAGCCTCTCTCAGCCGACTCTACAGACATCTCAGCGTTGACTCCAGCACACTTCTTGGTTGGTGAACCTCTAGTAACATTACCAGAGCCTCCACTGGAAGATGTGCCAATGCCACGCTTGTCCAGGTGGCAATTTATTCAGCAGCGACTCCAATCGTTTTGGTCAACGTGGTCAACACAATACCTTCAGCAGCAACTTGCCATTTCCAAGTGGAAACACCCCGCTCACAACATCACAGTCGGCTCACTTGTACTACTCACTGACGAGAGGTTCCCACCAACGAAGTGGCCTCTCGCCAGAGTGATTGAGGTGTTCCCAGGATCAGACGGACTCATCAGAACAGTCAAACTCAGGACAGCAACAGCAGAGCTCATCAGACCACTCACCAAACTAGTCATCTTACCATACACTCCACCAGCAGAAGATCAGCAAAGGCGTTGCTGATGGTGGGACAATGTTCTGACTTGGAGGGGCCCAAGTCAGTTAGTCAGAAATATTAAAAAATTGTTAATGCCGGACTTGTCCACCGGCGCGTCAGTCAACTCACTGGACCAATCATCGGGAAGTATTTCCCTCATGGCCCAGCAGGCAACTCTACGGCCCTAGTGACGCCAACAAGCACGCGGTCGAGCACTTGTGGCGTCAGTTAGCTCCAGGCAAATCACGCGGTTAACTCTGTAGAAAATTACAAAGTCAGTTAGCTCCAGGCAAATCACGCGGTCAGCTCTGTACAAGTATTCGCAGTCAAATCGTAGTTTTTTGCAGTCAGCTCACTCGTTGTACAATAACGTACGGTCGAATAGACTCAGACAGCTCTCACGAAGAAACGTGAATCATCAAAGTACTCTCATCAGTGCAATTGGTCCAGTATATTCAGTTCGTAGTGTCTTTGGGCGCGAAGCTGAACTGGCGTCGACGCCATAGTGCCTCACGGACATTCACCTATACATCGCTCCCCCGAATAACTCTGGTGTATACTGTGAATGTTGCTATTCACTGTTTTTTGAGACTCTGTTATTTGGTGACAAAATAACCATCAGACAACTCAGAAGTGTATGAACAATTAATGTACAGTCAATTCACCCAAACTTAGTGATTAAGAATTTCTATTGTTTTAAGTTAAGTGTTATTGTGGAATAAAAACTATAAAACTCAAGCAGTCTGTGTTAATAAACTATATTTTTGAACCTTCTAGCATCCAACCTTTTGTTCTTATTCTGCTCTTAATTCATACAGTCCACTAGTTTTTTTGTTTGCTCGTCCGGCCGACTCGAAGTCAGAACAGCTACTATCCCGATGTATTATTTGTTTGCGATTTAGCATGTGAATTTATTTATTATTAGTAGTGCATATTTTTCATCATAGTCATGTTTCATTTTTGCCGAAAACAATAATCGTGAAATTGCGAATAAACATTCCGACATGATCAAGGTAAATGATCCGTTCAATCTTCTTAATAGAAAGTGAATTTTTCAGTTGTTAAACGATGTAATTATTACAAATAACACACGGTACTAAAAATCAATATGCATGTTTATAACAGTTTCAAGAGTAGCCTATGTCATTTTCAACATTTTTATTTATGTGTTTGTGAAGTTGGAATTGATTCAGCCGATTAGATAATTATTTTGAATAAACAGACAAATACTTTGATTGTATTTATATGGACTCCAAATTGATATTTGGGGTTCCTTTTCTAACTTTTGTGGATGCTCAGCGATGGTAAGCTATCGGGTATATCACTACCATTTATGATGTTAAAATCTGTTACTGATACTTCAAATACTTTGAAACTCATGATTAAAAATCATAATCAAAATCTTGTAAAAAATATGAATATTAAATGATTGGAATATTTGTATGGATATATAATGACAATATTTCATCGAAAAAAAAAAATTTAAAAAACAAAATCAGCAATGAAAGAATTTTAAACTCGTGTCAGGGGATTGAGTAAACAGCATTAAAGACGCTACAATAGTCATTAATAATTGTTAATAATATGGAATTGTGTCCATAACAATTGAACATTGCTACTAACAAATGATTATTGATCGTGGTAATATTTAAATAAAAAGTTTTAAATCGTTATAAACAATAAGAATAGGGATCCATGCTATATATATGAGTACTTTTAACGCATAATTTTTTCTTTTACTAAAAAAATGTTGCCAACCGTATGACATAGATGAAAACATACTTTTTCCGTTTATAACAATGAAGTTTGTTATAAATAATGAAAAAAAAGATCTATGAGATATATTTGAATTCTTCTAACGCACAATTTTTTCTTTTACTGAAATGAAGTAACTAATCATATCAAATGGATAAAAACACACTCATTCCGTTTATAACAATTCCATTCGTTCTATGCAACATATTTGTATTCTATTAACGTGTAATTTCTTATTTTACTGAAAAAATGTTATCAACTGTGTTATAGAAATGAAAACGGACTTTATTAGTTTATAACCATCAAATCGTTGTCAACAAGCAAAATTTGAATTTTGCGATGGAATTCGAAATCTTTTCCGTCTATCATCAATACCCACGAAAATATTATAATCCTTGAAATAGTATCACAAAATACGTTTTTGGAATTGACCCCTTTAAAAATATAAGTTTTTTTTATTTATAAGTGTATTTGAAAGTGTTTTTTATGCAAAAAAAAATCAACTCCAAAGTCAATAGGATTTTACATTATTCAATAGGTTTGACGTTTAATATATAATGAAAATTTAACATTTATAATGAACGTTTAACAGATAATTTAAAAAATTTCTAAGTCGTGTTTCCCTTTCGAATTCATTGATTTTTTATAGAAATTGTTTTAATGTTCTTCTTTTAAATAATATAAAATCCTATCATGGGACATTGAGATGAATATATAATTTCTGAGTTGCATTCCTGTCATATCTTTACAAATGACAATTACTCTTTTTCTGCTTTAAAATACTTGCTAGGATGCAAACTTAATTAACATTCAAATTATTTCAAATTTTTAACCCAAATAGATTAGGCGAAAGTCATGTTTTAGAATAGCGCAGTCGGCAGCGTACCGGACTATTGACCCGAGGATGCCACGATCGAATCTCACCGTTATCAGGATTTTTTCGGACAAAGTTTCTAACAAATTTCATTCCAGGTGTATATTCAAACAACAAATTCGTATAAACAAAGAACCTCTAGAGAGAATTAAAATTTCCTTTCGTTTAAAAGAATTTTTTTTTGTAGTAATAAGATCCTATTGGATCGTTCAATAGGTTTAACTTTAATTTTATAGGGAATTCTGCGACAACAATATTGCCATTGAATTATATCAAATTCTATTAAAGCATCGAATAAGAATCGCCTCGTTTCAGTGAGGAAATTGTAATATCACAAGTCCTATTAAATTCACTAGAATCCTATTGAAGAATCTAATAGGATTTTGCATTATTCTGTAGGCAATTCTGAGACAACAATATTCCAATTGAATAGTATCAAATTCTATTGGGAAGTTGAATAGGATTCAGCGTACCTCAGGGGGGCATCTGAATAGGATTCAAGCGATTTCTATGGGAAAAAAAAACTTCAATAGGATTCAATAGGGAATTTCCGATGCAATTTTTCCATTGAACTCCCTTCTCTTAATAGGATTGTTTTAGCAGGGATACGAAATTGATGTAACTAGCCATCAACAATTAAATACAGTCAATGAATTTATTCATGAATAAGAACTAAGATATGCAGAATAAAATTATTTCGATTTCACAGTTATTATATTGTACCGCACATCTCAATACTTCATAGTCTGATAGGAATATTGAACTTAAGGATTTTGCCTATTTCATAACCAATTTTATTGTTAATCACGAACAGTAATGTTGATACTATTGAATAAAAATGTAACTAATGAACAAATAATTGAACCGATGAATTAATAGTCTTTGAGAGATTTGAATTTTTTTCAATTTATTTTCAAAATTTAATAACTTCAAAAAAGATAAAAATAACTAATTTTTTACGTAACTATAATTTATTTTTCTCTAAAAAAATTGTATTTATTTAAAATAGTACTCACAGATCCATGAATTGCTTGTATAACGAAATAATTGGCTGCTAGTAATCCCGCAGCACCAAGTGTTGAACAAAGGGCACAGGCAGCCGCTGCACACGCAGGAGATTCAGCTGGCGCAAGATCAGCCACTGCTGCTAATGCTCCCGCAGGAGCCGTGCCAGATACAAGAAGAGCGGCGATTCCTAACCATGCAGCGCCTAATGCTTGACAGCCTGCATACCCCGCAACAAATAATAGAGCCGCGGGTATAAAGTGTGCTGTTGATAAAAGTTTACTTACATAAATTTACAATGCTACTCACAATTTTATTACATAAGTTCACGAAATGTCCCACTTTGATCAAATTAAAGAAAAGAATTAAAATACTTTAACAAATTAATCTTATAGATAATTAAAAAAATTCGTAAATAAAATTTCTTTATTTTAGTTTTACATACGTTAAATAGTACATTTAGAAAGTCTAAACTTTGTTATAATGGTGACGTATACAAAGAGTAACTATTTAAAATTCAATGTTAATGTTAAAAACTCAGAAATTTATTCATGTCTGCGCCGTCCGTTCAGATGGCAACAGTTCCTGGGCTGCCAGAAACTCAACGCTACCGGTATTTCATGAACCAAAAAACTCAGGCGCCATTTTTCTTTCACATTTGGTTGTGACTCTGCAAGTATCTCAGACACTCAAGAAAGTGTTATGCACTACTGTGGTCAGCCAATCATCCTCTGCTGTCCAAAAACATTTGTGTAATAACTCTCAGCCTGTTGCCGTTGCGAGTACGTGCATCAGGCATCGAAATCAGTGTCGGTGAACACTGCTTGAGTGAAAATAGTATCTTTCACTCATCACTGATCTTCATCCTCATCATTGCTGCATTGTGAGAGACTTACAACCTCTCACACAGTCAGACAGGACACCTCAAGTACCTTCAAGCCGTCATTAATTGTGAACAGTGCATTGTGTGCTACCTGGAAGCCCATACACTCAGACTATCAAGACATTCAAGACACTAGTGGTACTCATACCTTCAAGACATTTCAATCAACCTGCAGTATTTTGTGAGATATTCAACTATTATTGTATAAGTTAGTGCAAATGAAGACTCAAGTAAAATTTAAGTTCTAATTGTTGTTATTTACGATAATCTAGTACGCTCTGGTTAATTTTCTATGTTCTAGAACTTTATAGTTAATAACTTGTAATAAACTAATTTTTTTTTCTTAGTTGAAAGTATTTTTTGAGCTCAAAATTATTATAAAGATAATTATCTCGAATGGTAAGTTACTCTAATAATTAACAACTCAGTTTATCTGATCAGAATAGTTTCATCACGAAAAAAAAAAAAATAATCAATAGTAAAATGCTTTAATGCTTCATTCAATACTTTGTTTAGGTAAAGCTGACCTTGACACTTCTCAGACGATTGTAACGTGCTGTCGAATGCCATCCAACCCAATGAGACAACAACAACCCAGCGCTGTTGGTTATGTTCCCCTCTGCTTCAGCTCGCCGGTTCCAGAGTCTAATGATGAAGGTCAGCAACAGATTAATGTCCCAGAGTTCGACGGGGAATTCAAATAGATCAAGCGAAATATTTATTCAGCCAATAGAGTAAAAAGGGTTTTATTTTACAAGTAATAAAGGAAAGTTAACCGTAGTACAAGTGTTCTGACTTGGTCTAAGGTACTCTATCGACGGCCTAACATTTTTCTCCCCACCGAATAATTAGATGACTCAAGGTCTCTCCTGCCAACTCATTTTCGCCAATTAGGTACGTGTGTACTAGCAGAGAGCTCACGCAGTCGAACTCTCTAGTGAAAACCCAGACAACTCCTCAGACATGGACTAACTCACCAGTTAATCATCTATAGTGATGATTATGAACTCATCAGGCAGTCTACCTCTTAGAAGACATCCTCAGGAAGCTCATGTTGGTCCGCATCAGCACCTTCTTACAAAAGGCGCGAATGATGTCGGCTTCGACGCCTCACGGCCTCATGGACAGACACACACACAAGATCCATACACCAACAACTCGCTTGTGTCTGTGTGGCTGACGCCAACACAATGAAACTCAGACTACTCAAAAAAATCAGGCTACTCCTGGTGCAGAGACCAGTACAGGAAAACTTACAACTTTCCTGTGATCCTCTACTCATCAGTCAACTCATCAGTGAACTCTGTGTGAAATTTCCGTGAACTCAAGACTGTACAGACAATTCAAAGACTCTTCTATTGTTATTTTTCTGTTACTGTGATTTTAGTGTTTAATAAATCGTTAACTGTTACTGTTAAATAGTGTCAGCCAACTCATTTACACCGTTCAAAAGTCCCGACTGTTCTAGCATCCAAACATCCTAAAAAAATACAGTCCACAAAGTCCCGACTTCTCACTCAGCCGACTCAAAGTCAGAACAACAAGCAAACTATGAATTTATTGGAAATCAAGCATAAATTATACGGAACAAAGTATTAAATAAATGATATATTCTTATATATAATGGATTTTTCCGAACGAGATAATATTTTGAATATTATTTGGAAAATGTCTTTGTAATTCGAGTCATTATATTAATTGTTGACCTTGAGTATTACAAAGAGAAAATTATAAATGTAACTTTGCCGTCCTGTACCCGGGTCAATTCTTCTCTGTCACAAATAACTCTATCTTTGTAGGCATAATAAGATACGTTATAGCTTGCTTCAGGACGCGCGGAGATATTCCGCCGTGTAAATTGGAATTGTCTTTGTAATAAAGTTTTTCTATCTCGTTTTACGTGTGGAAGAAATTATCTCGGTGTACTCTACGCGTATTTTCATTTGCATGCTTTACAGGGATTGGAGAAGTCTCAGAGAAATTTGTCTCTTGCCTTTAGACGGACGAAAGATCCACATCAAATTCGTATAATCTCGTCCTTGCTTTGGCACGTCGGTGGTCCAGGAATTCTCTCTCAGTTGATTTGCTTCGTTTATATCTTGCATTCTGCTTCGTCTATATCATCGTCACCAAGCAGTATTATCAAGTCTACATAAAGGTAAGTGAGAATACACGCACTCACTTCTGCAGTCTTATATCTATTTCAAGGTCATAGTATATTTTCAAAGTTAGAGACACCATGTCGAATCCGTGGTAATATAAGATCCTTTACCTAACCTAACCTGAAATAAGTGGCGTAAACACATAAAGTCTGAGTCTTCCATTAGTTTCTGATACACCTAAAAGTTCGATAATTGAGCATATTCATAGCATATAACACATACTATGTATCCCACACATAGTAAGCAGCTAATAAAGCGAGAACAATTCTATTGACTGTTGGTTCTGGAATTTGAATTCTCAAGGTATCAGTAACAATAAAAAAAGTATCAATGGATCCCTACGCTGTATACAATACAACTCATGGAGATTTTTTGTCTGACATCAAAAGATATTCGGTGGATGCTAAAGCCTAATCAATTAATTAAATTCATAAGCCAATTAAAAATTTAAATTACACTAAGCCAACGATTTTCTGCAAAAGTTATTTTCACTTACTTTTTGAGTAGTAAACAGTGGATCGCTTATTTTAATTAAAATAGTACATTTTTCTTCGTCTGTTAAATTGTTAATTTTAAATAGTGGCCTCAATTTTATAAACTTCATATCAATATTTTCTAGAAGAGATTGTAAGGATTCCTATTTTAATATTTCTAATTCAAACACCATCTATGAATAGTTCAGTCACTTCTTCGATACCCTTAGTATCGTTTTCAATCTATATTCATCGAGTAGACAATGCTTCCCTTAATAATCTTTGTACATTTTCATTATTAGTGATATTACTACTTTTCTGTAACTCTGCCAAAGCACTATTTATATCAGTTTGAGTTTGACATCTACAATTACATGAAAAAATATACAATTAACAATGGTTCATCTTATTATCAGAAGAGTGAAAAGTTCCAAAACTTTCTTACACATCTCGTAAAGTAGAAACTGATGTTATAGTTGCGTTTTTAGCAGAACGTTTCGATTTTTGTCATTTGCTTTCCTCTTAAAATAAGCACGGCAATGTCTGATTGATGCACTTAACTGTCCGGACGTCAGCTTCTCTTCCTTTCATTCTTATTGTATAAACATAACCCTCTCTTTCTATTATATGGGGTTTTTTATTTTACGATTCCTCTAAGTACGTTTATTGTGCTTAAAAACTCGCTATGAGTACGAAGAGTGCGTTCGATATGCTGTCTCTCTATAATAGTTTACGCGAAAAATGTGAAAAAACGGCTTTCGGAGCAATCTTACCCCTTTTTAGTCTTGAAACTGGGTTTACAATCCCCTTAAAACTATCCCTAGTTAAAATTAGCATGCTCAGAAATATTTCAACCAAGTTTGACCAAGGGTAAAAAATTGCCATTTCAGGTCTAACTTGACTGGACTGTAACAGATTTTAAGATTTCAACTTTTCCATCCGTATCTAATTTTTTTTGTCAATAAAGAGGTATTTTTGGCAATTGAACTGGATATGGAATAGTGTCAGAATTCTTTTTTGATTTTTGTGACATTTTTGTCACTTGTTTCGATAATGAACTAGAAGAACTACTAGTTGGAAGACCACTTTCCACGCTTTGATTCAATTCATGATTTTTAGTTTGTCACGTTGAAAGAACTTAAATTTATCTAATAGATCCCTTATTCCTAATTTAAATGGTATGTGTTGACAAAATGTCAACTTGTGAATAACCTAACTGTTTAAGGATAGGGATGAGTGTGCCGGAACAGAGCTGATGGAGAAGTCAGGTGTTATAAAAAATATAAAATTCTTTATTAAGTAGCACTAACAACTACACTATACACTGTACAAGATTTTTCTTCACTAAAAAAATGAATGAATGTCTTTAGAACTCAATGAATGTCCATTGTAAGCACAGAATCTTAATGAAATATTAACTCAATAATGATTGAATGTCTCCCGTCAACTAAATTTAGTATTTTCGATATTATTGACGTAGTCCACGAGCTCAACACGCTTCACAAGTTTAGTAGAATAATGATTGTGCACATGGCGTAAGCCTATCAATGTAATGCAAACTTAATGTGAATTAATTACTTGAATTTACTGTGACTTGTCTTTAAATAGTTTTTGATTTACTTATAGAACGAACTGGTGAATGTTTTTGTTGATTCAGAATTGTACTGGCACTAACGATTGACTTAGAAAGAATAGATTTTTTAGGAAAGAATTAGAATTGTGTGTACACGTGAATGAGAACAAAAAA